CAACACCAGCTTCTCTCTGGAGCCAAGCCAAGGTCCCCGGATGCTGGGGACGTTGTTCTGGAGCATTCTCTATGGGGCCTGCACCCACTCCGTGCCAGCGGCTCCCTGAGTGCTCCGAGTGCTCCCTGGGTGCTCCCTGAGTGCTCCCCGAGTGCGCCCCAGGTGCTCCCCGAGTGCTCCCCGAGTGCGCCCCAGGTGCTCCCCGAGTGCTCCCCGAGTGCCCCGAGTGCCCCGGGTGCTCCCCGAGTGCTCCCTGAGTGCTCCCCGAGTGGTCTGGACCCGCTGCACGAACACGGGTCAGGAGAAGACACGCCCCTTCCGGCCTGAAGGAAGCTGTGCACACAGTTGCACAACTGAACTGGAAAAACACTCGAGCGCCACACGGGTGGGGAGAGGAGACGGCGCAGCTGCCGCACAGAGCAGTTTGGCAATTTCCGGAAAAAAACAAAACTGAGCACAGCCTATCCCATGACCCGGCAACTTGAAATCACCCGAGTGCCCCAATCCTGGGCTCCTTGTGTGTATACCCCAGAGGCATGCAGTCACCACCAAGGTCCTGCTGTATACAGTTGGCATGCAATTGTGTTCAAAACGCTTGTGTCTACAGTGGTGTGCAGTCATTACTGGAGCCCCTGTGTATACAGTGGTGTGCAGTGGTGGCTGAGGCCTGCGTATACAGTGGTGTGCATTGGCGGCTGAGGTCTGCGTATACAGTGGCGTGCAGTCCTGACCCTGCTATCCCGCTCTGTAAACAGCTCCTCTCTGAACACCGCGTGCTGGGAGCGAACGTTCTGCATCCGCCTCCTGCCGTGGCTCGCGGTTTTGTTTTTTGTTTGGTTTCCACTCATTTCTTCACTGGTTTTTGGCAGGCGGACGGGAGACGGAGGGAAACAGCCAGATTCCTGGACGTTGACAGGGAGACGGGAGGAGACTGGGCCCCTGAGGCTGTCACCTGCCTGGAGGGCTGAGGAGGAAGCGAGTTCAGGACCAGAGCGGCCAGTTTAGGGAGGCCTTGCTCAAAACAGAAAGTGAAAGGCGGGCTGGGGGCGTGGTCAGGGCGGAGCCCCGCCCAGAATCCCCAGTGAGGGGCTGGGGGCGTAGTCAGGGCGGAGCCCCGCCCAGAATCCCCAGTGAGGGGCTGGGGGCGTGGTCATGGTGGAGCCCCGCCCAGACCCCCCAGTGAGGGGTGGGGGCGTGGTCAGGGTGGAGCCCCGCCTAGAATCCCCAGTGAGGGGGCTGGGGGCGTGGTCAGGGCGGAGCCCCGCCCAGAATCCCCAGTGAGGGGCTGGGGGCGTGGTCAGGGTGGAGCCCCGCCCAGAACCCCCCGGAGTAGCCTGTGCACCCAGGACCCCCCCAGTCTATCCCTCCTCCTCCACCGGACGCTGGCTTTCCTGAGTCAGACAGTTCATCTCCAATCCGGCCATTATTATTATTATTATTATTATTATTATTATTATTATTATTATTATTATTTCAAGACCCCGGTGTCCTGTAGCCCAGGCTGGCCTCACACTCTACCGACGACCTTGGATCCTCCGGCCTCGGCCTGCTCCGGCCCCCGAGCTTGGCTTCCGTGGTGCAGGATGCACATGCACGGCCGCTCGTCCTTCCCACCCCTCCCGCGGGGTCGGGGGCCGCGATCCAAAGGCTCCTCGCGGCCCTGCTGGGTCCCTTCCTGGAGAGCGCGGGGGCGCGGCCGGCCCTCCCCCCTGGCGGCCCCTCCCCCTGGCGGCCCCTCCCC